TGGTATTCTTATAAAACGAGAGAATGCACTTTCTCCGAATTCATGTTTAATTTGTTAATATTTTTGCGCGCAGATAAGGAAATACCTTTGTACCTTACATCCCGGGGAAGAAATGGAACAAGTCGTGTGTTGAAATGTTAAAATTTTCTTGTGTTACCAAGACCTGATTATTATTTCAATGTAAAATTAACGTAAAACAGATATGTTATTATTTTCGTAACATTTTTATGTGTTACTTTGATGTTAACATAATAACTTGACACTTTATGTACGTCACGTAAAAATTGAATATCATTTTGAGTTCGTTTAACACAACTATTTCACAAAATCAACCGAAACATGTAATATCGACATTTCTTCAACATTGTTTCAACTATTTAATATGTAACTATTCGTACTTATCCTGTCTGTTTTTATTACATTACGCTTACGGCTAAAAGAACATAAACATAAATGTGAAGTATAGTGTTAATTAATTAACATTTATTATTTGTCAAAAAGCGCGATGGATGTTATTTTAACTTACAATTTAGAGTGAACTTTTTGGGACATGTGAAAAATGCTACATTAACATTGTATTTTTTACTGTGCATGTGGGTCTCAATCGTGTAATATTTAATGGTATCTCGCGAGATCCAATTCTAAAAATGCTCAGATCCTCAGAGATTTGACAATTTCCACGAATGTCCGAGGTTATCCATTGAGATATAAATCTACAATTAAATGTCCTAAGAGAACATAATTAGATCTCAATAGATAACCTCGGACGTTCGAGGAAGTTGTCAAATCTCTGAGAATCTGATGATTTTAGAATTGGATATAATTAGATATGATTGAGACATAATGAGATATTTCCATTTCTTCCCGGGATGTTACAATCGTGACCAAAATTTTGTTCGAAAGTAGAGGAAAGTCCTCTATTATGAGATAGGATTCTAACGTGAGGCAGTAGGTTTTCAACGTCCAAATTCAGTGACAAGTCTTTTTTCGCAACGATTACACGATCTAACAAGTTTTGCGTCAAACAGATTTCGCTCCAAGTAATAAATTCATGGTGGAACCAACGGATGATTAATTTAAACTCCGCTATCTCTCATTAGGAACCTATCACGCAATAGGGGACTCTATTACTATTTTTATGAGTTAGGAATCTATGAATTAACACGCTGGCTTCGTCGTTTCGTTGACTGGGTCCGTTTCCCACTTTTCGTTATCGCAGACACGTTTACTGATCCGTTTTCAGATTCAACGATTGATCTGCCCATCGTTGCGTCGTGCGTCCGTCGATGAAGCTGGAGCGATAATGTCGGTGCCGCAGCGTCCTAAGCATACAAGAAAACACACGCGGGAGATGAAACGATCGTGAGGATTCGAGGCGCGATACGAATATACGTCGCGGAATGCGCATCGTTTTTTTTTTCAGCTCGGTTCCTCGTCGTGTGCCTCGAAATCTCGCGAACGAGTCCTTTCGTTTCGCGCGCGCGCGCGCTCGCGCGATCGGTTTGCCCGTGCGAAAATTTCCAGCACGGCCTTCCGATTCAGCTGGAGAGAAAGTTACGTGCGCGATCGAACGTGTTACACGCGTTACTTTATAACGGCGTAACGAAAATAGCTCAGAGTACAAAAATTACTAATCGATGCCGAACCGACCAGAGATCTTCGCGCGTCGCGCGCGCGCGAGAAGGGTCCATCGTGAAGCAGGCGGGCAGTTGTGCGATAGAGCAAGTCGAGACGAGGGTATCGATTTCGAACGCTTTAACCGACAATGCGTGAGTGCGACAGTGCGTAACGCACGGAACTAGTGCAACTTGACGTGTCAAGGTGTCCGCGATACCTTGAGCGAGCCGGTTACATCATCGCCGCGTTTCTTCAAAATTAATTATTACGCCGCCGCGCATTCAGACCGGTCGTTATTTCGCGCGCGGCGTCGCGAGTCGCGATTCGCCCGTTCCGACCTGAAGTTGGCCGCGAGCGCGGCCTCTCGTCGACGTTGCGCCACGAGAGGGTTCGCGCGAGAGGCAAGCTAGCGGGACACCCGAGGGATGATACACGGCTCGGAAGAAAGTAACCGCGAGACGCGGCGGGGCCGCGCGCGAAAGCGGCAGAACGGCGGCGGGGCGGGGGGGGGGGCGCGATTGGCGAGCGGGGGAACGTCGAGAGAAGTGTGCCAAAGTCGGCGGAGGTAGGAGTCCCTCGATCGCTCGCGTCGATAATCGCGCGCGGTCGAGACGCGCGGGCGGCGTTCGCGCTTGTGTCGTGTTTGCGCGGTGTGCGGGAGAGGGACGCGGCGATTCGCGGGGCGCGCGCGCGATCGAGACAACGGAATCGTAGGAGACCGAAGGTGAGTGAGTAGGGTACAACATTGCGCGGGAGGGGGAAAATGTGTGTATATACGTGGATGAATATACGCGGCGCGAGCGGGGAGCGAGAGAGCGAGAGAGTGTGAGAAAGGGGGGGACAAGACGAGCGACCGGCGTGCCTGAAAGAGGGAGAGGGAGTGAGAGGCGCTCGCGGTGTCAGGACGGGGGCGTGCGCTCGATGGCCGCCTAGACCGCTCGAATCGGTCGCGCCCGGGGCGTGAGCCAGGCGCGCGAGATCGGGAATGAGCGCGAGAGAGTAGAGGAGAGGGAAGAGAGAGAGAGAGAGTGTGAGCGCGCGCGCGCGCGCGCGAAAGAGAGAAGCGACACGATCGCCGCGGAGGGCTGCGTTCGCCAAGCAGTTACTCTGGAACCGTTGCCTTGACGACACGCATCCACGCATGCGCGTGCGCAGCGCGGACGGTACGCGAGCGCAGAGTTAAAGAGTTTGTGCGCGCTAGTTTGATCCGTCACCCTCGCCTCCGTATCATCGTTTCCACCACCACCGGTACCACCACCACCTCCGCCACCACCACCACCACCACCGCCACCGTCACCCTCACCTCGTAAGTCCTCTGCTCTCTTTCCGTCTCCCTCTCTCCCACCCTTTCTCTCTCTCTGTCTCTCTCTCTCCGCCCTCGTCCTCGTGGTCCTCCGTGGCGAGCACGCGCGCGCGTCAACGCGTTAACGGGAGTCCGCGCTGTCACCGTCGAGAAACGTCATTTCGCGGATCTCGTGGCGGTTGGCCACGATCGGCGCACTCGATCGTCGGCGAGAGAGAGAGCGCGCGCGCGCGCGCGCCCCTTATCCCTCTCGCATCCCGGCTGGAGCCCCACGCGCTCCCTTTCGTATCTCGCGTCGCGCGAGAGCCTGGCGCTCCGGGGATCGTCACGTTCGCTCGAAATTGTCGCGAGTGCCGGCGGCGAGGCTGGACGAAAACGTGCCTTCGTCGACGTAGTAGTGACAGTTCGCGGGAGGAAAGGGAGAATCGCCGGGCGAGGGGCCGATGCCGATTTCTCGGGGAAGAAACGTCTCCTCGATTGTCGTTCCCGCGCGTGAGCGTCGCGCAGCGCGAAGTCGCGAGTGATCGAGCCCAGCTTCGAACTTGTCCGATGTCTCATCCGACGCTTGGGAAACGCGCGGCCGCGAGAACTCGAGGAGCGTCGTCGGTGAGTCGTGTTTTGATTCGAAAATCGGCGCCGAATGCGCGTTCCTGCTCGCGCTAGTGCCCACCGACAGGCGCGGCGCGTTGGCGGCGTCGGCGACGACGGCAACGGCGACGTCGCCAAACGGACTGCTCTCTCCGCTGCTCCTCACCGCGAGAAATAACTCGTCTGTTTTGTCGCAGGACGCGATGCTCGCGACGAGTACAGCCTGGTGCGGGACAGTATTTCGCGCGCGGAGCTCCTTGGACTCGACACGCGGGACCTGGATTCGTCGACGCGGCACCGGCGCACGTGACTGTCGCCAAGTATCGTCGGATATCGCGAATCGAAGTGACACTGCGTGAAACCGAGCCGCGCGCGAGACAGCGATATGCCACGACTTTTACCCACCCGACGAGCGGACGGATCCGGAATCTGAGAAGCGGAAGAATTCCGATCGAAGGAACCGATCCGTCGTCGCGCGCCCCGAGAGCTCCTAGCGCGGTGACGATCGCTGGCGGATAAGGCACGAGCGGGCGAGACGGCGGCCGCAGATTGGATGGTGCTGCGAAAGTCAACCCTCGGACGACCCAGGCCGGATCGACTCCTCGCTGTGCCCCCGCGGAAGATGATAATAGTACCGCGTCGTCGTCGTCGTCGTCACCTGCCGTCCCGAGCCAGCTGAAGAGCCCCAGAGAAGCGACGAAGGGACCGAGATTGCCGGCGGGAGGATCCGAGGATCCGCGAATCGATCCTCTCAGCCGTCGGCCGGTGGATTGGATGGTGCCGCGAGGATTATCCCTCGGCGGGACGACGACACGGGAGCCGGAGCCGGAGCAGCTACGCTTTTACGACTCTCCGCCGCCACGGATGGACGCGAGCGTGTGCTGTCTGCCCGCCGGTGCCGCGGCCACCACGGGGGTTACGCAGCACCCTCATCCGGCCTCTCTGCCCGGTTTACCGTCCGCCGTCGGCGTCCAGCCGCCGACGATCCAGCCGTCCTACGTCGCCCAGTACGCCGCCGATCAGATAGTGCCCGATCGGGCCCAGCCCGACGGGCCCCTCGCCACCGTGCTCGGATGCAACGCGCAGGACAGCTGGCAGCAGATCTCCTCGGCGACGTCCACCGGGATCACCGGGATCACCGGAGCCGTCACCGCCACCACCACCGCCTACATCGACTACTCGTGGCTGCAGATGCAGGTAAGCAGTAGTCCTGGAATTGTGCCACTCGCTTCTCTCCCGTGCGCGAAATCCCTACTCGATCTGACGGAAACGCTCGACGAAACGGTAATCAGACGTTGAACCTACACTGAGGACAATTCTCGTCGGATAAACCTGTTAAACGGCGTCAAGTTATGGACGCATCCGATGAAATTTATCTGATTTATCGGACACATCCGTTTGCTGTTATGTAATTGGATTATCCGATGATATTTCATCGGACATTTTTCTCAGCGTGCCAAAGATCATATGTTAATATGATCATTTTAATTTCGATTCGAGCGTGTGTCGCACGCATGTGCGTACGCTGTGAAATAAATAACACAATAGAAATAGTAAGGTAGGAAGGAAGGGCCGGTGCGAGCCAACCGCAGGTGTCCGTGCGAAGTTATCCAATATCGAGCTCTTTAATCACTTTATCAGTTAACATCCAAACGTTTCGACCCATTTTCGGGTCGTCCTCGGTGAGGCTGGGATTAAAAAAAAAATAGTACGTGGTGTTACAAAATTTAGCAATGTAAAAACTTGATTACGAATAGGAACAACAAATGCAATACCTAAATAGACACGGAATGTACGGCGCTTAAATGAAATACTGGCATCGAGAGCTGTCCTCTGACATGTTCGAAGTAATAGACAAATAGTAGAAAGGAGAGTTTGCTTATTGTCACCGGTAATGATTAAAGATTGAGACGGGAAACTTATGTCAACCCAACTGGCTAATTATTTAATCACTTAATTACACAACGTTTCGACTCTTTTGGGTCCTTTTCGAGTGACACTAAGTCAATCATCGTCGTCGGATAAGACAGAGTCGAGTTATAAATATACGTATACGTGTGAGAACTGTGGTAGCTGCGGCTCGAACTGAGCTCGTACGAAACTAATAGAAACACCTTACACGGTCGGGATCTTAGAGGCTTAATGATATTTTGCGAGTACATCCGTTTTCCGACGCGACAACCTGCGCGCCGATCTTGAAACGGTTCGAAACTGATTTTGAAATTAATTGTCGCTTAAATTTTGTGTACCATTTCAACTTTGAGAGCCAGCCCGGTATAAGACGTTGCTATTACTTGTGTTATTTGTGTACAAAAAAGCTCACTTATTGTAACGATATCCCCGTTGACTTCCCTCGGGGTTGCAAGGCACTTTTCGAGGGAGTGTTCCCGAACCCTTTACACTTTTAACGTAACACAAGCCCGCTTATTATTATCGGTATGGAATCAATTTCAAAGTTGCCATTACGCGCGGAGTCGACTAAAAAATTGAACGGATACTTAAGCTCTTGTACAATGAGAGCGAGTTGTCTTTCGTCGCACGTAGAGTTAAACAGGGAGAAGGATTTGAGGCTCGATGAAAGAAACTGGAGTGAATCCGAGCCACCGGTCGGCAATTGCAATAGAATCTATTTATGCGACGACATTCGTATTCCCGGCAGAAGACAAATCCAGTCGATTAAGCGTAACTTCATTCAGTATGCGGCTTGCACGGCGCAAATGTAGGCTTAATTAAGCAATAACGCGTACCGAGCCTCGCTTAGTAAGCGACTTGAGAGGAGCCGTTCAATTCTTTCCCCCTTTTCGCGGCGGATCTAAATAACCGCGCGATCGCGCACGTGTCACTCAGCTGGCCGCGCCGGTTTTTAGGATTTGTCATAAATGGCGCGCGAGATTATAGGTTTTCAACCGCACGGCCGTAACGTAACGTTATAGCCGTCAATTTTTCGCCGGATACATTGATTATCGGCTGCCTGGCTTGGAAAAAAGTTTCGACGTGGACCGATTTCCCTCGGAATCGGCACTTAACTCAGCTCATTACATTTGGAAATTGACTCAAGTACCATGATTAACGCGACTTGCTTTATTCCCGGTCGATATCGATTTCCCATTAGCGCGTCAATGTGATTTACACGGGCGATATGTCGAGTGGTAGATAGTAGATCTAGAAAAAATGATGGTTATTTACGTTGTTAATCATTCGCCAATCGGACGGCTCGTTTCGGCTCGGCTCGGCTCGGCTCTGCTCGGCGCGACTCCACGATAATGTATCAATTCCCGGGAAGCGCTAGATCGTAAAATAATAGAGCGGAGTAATAATACCCATTACTATTATCTCGGTACGAGTGAGTACTATATGTTCTCCCCTTATAGACGTAGCGGCGTCTCCGCCACGTAAAGCCGCGCTGTTGACAGGGTAAATATCCTTTGATACCGCGCCGTCCGTCTGGCACACGCGTCGTACGTCTCTCTTCTACCTTACGAAGGAAGTTATCTATGTGGCACATGTGTGAGCGAGCGCGCGCGTGCGTGCGTGCGTGCGTCCGTGCGATCTCTCACGCCACGAACGAGAGCGTGTACTTTTCACATTACGAAGGCCGTTTCGCCTGTCGTTAAGGCATCAGGATTTTCGTAAAGGCCGCTATTTCGTTAATGAATCTGTTGGCCTTATACACAGGGTGTTCCAGTACCACCGGTAAGCCGTTTCTTACCGCAGCTTTCTTGGTTAACGCGGGGAAATTCTTTGAAAAATCGACCAAACTGGCTTAAAAAGTGATGTACGTTTAAGTCACAATGTTTCG